ACAAACCAAAGGATGTTCCTCTCTGCAAAGATCGCCTGCTGATTCTTATTCGAAACACATCAGCATGACAAAAGAGAGGAAGAAGCTCTTATTTTTTATTTATGTGTCGAGACCTGTCCAAAAAGTGACCCCTGAGCAGCAGGTAGGAAATCAATACGTCAAAGGACAACTCTTTATTCTCACCTTTAGCAGCAAATGCAGGGGTGGACTGATGCTGGGCCGCTTCGAGGCCTTCCTTCGTTGTCCGAAGCACAACCACGGCATGATTTTCTCCGCGAACTTTTCTTCCCACAGTCGATGGACACCGAATCAAAGTTAGTTTCAGTCAGAAAAACGGCACAGTCGCCATAGAAGACGCTGTCAAACTCACTCAAGTTCAAAAGCACGTGATAACACTGGCAGGAGAGGCGGCGATTGCGTCCTTCGTGCGCTGAGTTCGCTCCTCGACTGACAGGCCAGGCACGGACAATGCGCGATCGCGAGCGGCAAAGCTGCTTGGGAGGCGCGACCGCCCTCCGCCGCCTTTACCTAGAGTTGCACGCCGCCGAAATCATGGTGGGGTGGAAAATAATCGGGACAAAAATTTGGCAAGCATTGCTGGAATTTGGCTATTGGTTTTTTGATGTTGTAAATTTTTAATATTTTTCTTCGATGTTTAGCTGGAGGAAAATATTTGTGAACTTTGTTGAAAAATACTTTATTTTAATTATTAATTTAGTTTTTAAGTGTATTGAACATACAACTTAACAACTTCCGCCCAATTTCATGATTCATGATTCGTTCATTCAAAAATACAAATTTGATCAAAACAAGAGAAATACAAGTAATTTGTAATCTTTTACTAATTTTAATAATTTAAAACTAATTATTTTCAAGAACTTTTTCAGCAATTTTATGAATTTTCTATCATTAGTGATTTTTAATATAATTGGCAATCAGCACAGATCACCTCTGAATCGCCGTATATAAAATCTCATAATATTCTTAATTCACAATCATTTTTTCCGTATTATTAATTAAATTCAAATTATTTTTTGCCATCAGTTGGTCGTTGATCCGCATTAATGTAGGTAATACGTCATATTAAAGAGCGTGCCACACACAGAAGTAAATTTTTTATTTTTCAAATAAAAAGCTGAAACAAAATTCATTTTAAACAATTTTGAACAAATTATAATAATTCATATTCAGTAATTAATTATTCCTTTGGGGATCAATTTATATGTTAACAAATAGTTTTTCCGATTTCTCACTAAATAAATGCTAAATATTTTCGTTTTTTATTTGAAGGAATTTCATTAAGTCAACTCACTTCACTTTCAGCAAAGGGATAAGATAATTTGTAAGCTCACACAAAACCTCGTTGATTGTTGAAAGCATGACAAGTAAATTTTTGCATTAATCCCACTCTGCGCGCAACACACTGCATTATTAAAAGCCTTGGCGCGTTTTCTTCTTTTAATCCCCATACCATATTCGTCGCGTTATTTTCTTTTATTCCTTTTAGCGAATTATACATTCAGCACTCGGCAGAAAAGAAAACCAATATAGGTTTTCTCTCTGCGAAGAGTGCGCCCAAAAATAATCCTTTCAAAAGAAGTCCATTAATGGACCCTCTCTAATTTGCATAAAATCCTGGCACGCCGAACAAAAAAAAAAGAACGGCGGCTTTTTATCATTGCCGTGCTGCTTTTTTCACGTCCAAGGCCAGAAATAATTTTCACGGATGTAAAACACGACGGTGCATGTGTTGTGTAATTTAGAAAATCTTTTTCTGCTCTCTCAGCTGCTTTTGACGTGCGAGGGTGGAGTCCTTGAACTATGAGCAGTCACACATCACAAAAATATATATTTCAAAGGGTGCATTTACGCTGCCTAGAAAGAGAAGGGGGCGGAAAATTTTAATATTTCACATCCGGACCTTAAAAAATTATGCAGTCAAAACAGCCTTTCCAATAAATTACAACGCATTCTGCATATAATTTGAAAAATACATCCTGTGCATTGATTAACATTTTTACTTTTGAAAATTATGAAGAATTTTTTTTCTCAACAGCTAAGATAGACAAAGGATTTGCTCATATCTTTGATCCAGTATTTCCGAAAGCTCATCAAGCTTAGTCGCGGCACATCAATCTCACAAAACACTCTTGCTTTGTGCGTCCTTTTTGATTACAGTGCGACGTTAAGGTGGGTCAAGATTTTCAGTTCCCACGGGGGATAGAAATCAGGTACATGAAAATGCACTCAAAAACAAATATTGGGCAACTTCTCATCATCGGCAGCTGTCGCTAAGCCATAAAAATAATTTTTATTCTCCTTATAATAATCTTGGAGAATATTTTGATAAAACGTTAGAGTTACGGAAAGCAGTAAAATGTGTATCCAACTATCCAGCAGTTTTATCCAGTAGTAGTTTTTAAAGTATCCTTGCTATCGAGCAATTTAAAAATTGTTTTCAAAAGTGCTTTTAGCTTGTAAAATATTGATATTTTTGGAATTATATCACCATTTTGAAAAATAATCGAATAAATGAATGATTATAATACAAATACAACAAATCACAAAATTTAAAAAAAAAAATCAAATAAACAAAATTTGGCACCCAAATAATTATCCGCAATTGCAAAAACCCAATGTATAAACATTGAGATGTAAATTTTCTGGACCTAATAATTTTGTATCCTTTGAATGTTTCTTTCTTGTAGTCTAAAATCCTTCATAATTTCAATACAGTTACCAGCTCTTTTTCATTTTCACTGACTGAAAACCATTTTTACTTTCAATAACAGGCCTCGAGTGCACTGCGCTTTTTCCAACAAAAATAAACAACAGCAACTTTTGCATCCGTGCACAGCATCTGTACAAGCCCCCTGCTGTACCAAACATTGCTATAGATCCCCTTTGCTTATTCATATGGACCCTAACCTACCACACAATAAATAAGCGCCAAGCGAAAGTCAAATAACGCATCCCTCTCCCGCAGAAAACGAAACAGAAACATTTTATTATGCCGATGCGTTTCGTGACTGAATGCGTTTTCGCTTTTTTGCTTTAAGAGAGGCTTATTACAAATCTGTATAGATATAGGACCATGCAGAAGCCTCTCCCATCGAGATGAATTGATGGTTGGATAAAAAAGCCGAAAAATGGATGGTACTTCTTCGAAATAGGGGATTATGGGTGACTCTGTCATGCAGCGTGACGTGGACTGTATAATAGGGGCTAAAAGCGGAGAAATTCAAGAGCGAGGGGCGCATCAAGATTTGAAGGAGATGCGCCGGAATTTTTAATAAGATATTTTACGCTCTTTGACCAAATTTAATGAAGGCTACACACACACGGAAACAGATTGAAATCAAATATGAAAAATAACATTCAAAACTCCACAACATGTGCACATTTTTAATGAGAAATAAAATATATACAAAAACCTTATTGACCCCTTATTGTAAGAATTTTGATTTAAATTTATTTAAAGAAATTTTCACCCTAACCCATTTATTATGCCAGTTGCCATGATCATACAAAATGTAAAAAAATCTAAATTGATTGATATGACTTAATTAAACTGCCGAAATAGGTATTTTAAAATTTTTTTATTTAAAAAAAATCATTTCAGAATTTAAATTATAATTTATGAAAGATCTAGGAAATAGTGAATATAAATTTGTCTAATTTAAAATAGAATTTCTAGGCGAGAGCTAAAACTATTTTTTGTCTTACATAATTTTTTTTCTTGATTAAAAATTTTTACTAATTTTTTAATAAAGCCTTGTATAGCAATAGTGGAAAATCTGAATTTATCACTCCACGTTCACATTTTTTTGTCTGTTTATTGTAAACTTCGAGCAGCGTTCCAAAGTTTACCAAACTCATTCCCAAAACAAACAATCATCGTCATCAAGTAAATTATTGTCACCTCGCACGCCTACAAAAATAAACTGTAAAACTCTTTGCTTTTCTAAGCGAACGACTTCTTTTTAACTTTTTCCTTCTCTTAATTTTGAACACTCCAAAAAACCCGCGGCGGCGAACAAATTGCAGCAGTTCCTGTGTGCATACATCTCAATTTAAGGGCGGATTTTCGCTCTCCCCTCGGAATGACATGCATTTAGAGACACCAGCAGCCCTGCTTTTTCCCTCTCGCCCGCATCCTGCTGCTCATTTCATCTGCGACATTGCGCTCGGGCCACACTACTTGACTATCAATCAATCACGAATTAACGAGGAGACCAAACTGCAGCCTTTTCCTGCTGCGCCACGCGCCTCGGCGGCGGCATCTCTTAGGCTTCAATTACGCCAAATTTCCTTTTCCTTTTGATATTGCAACTCCCTTTTTGATTATATCATTTCCTAGAGAAAGAGGAATAATAAAACCGAAAATGGACTGCAGACGCCGCCGAACCGCCCAGACGCATTAAAAAGTTGATGAGCAGTAAAATTGGGAGTTTCATTAATATGCCCAGAAATAAAGAAAGAGGGTTGTTCCATAAACACTTCATTAGAGATCTATTAACAAGTCTCGTGTAGTGCTTCTTCTTCTTCTTGGGGACAAAATAAAAATAAATGATGTGTCAGACAGGCAACCACCGAGAGTCTGGCAGCAAACAGCTTTTATCCCGCATCATTTCCTATTTCTCTATTCACAAAAGGAAGAAATCCCGGCGCGCCACACCCAATTTCTTAAGAGGGACGTTTCCTCAAAAGCCGCCGTCTGCCGTGAAAAGAGCAGAGGTATGACTCGGCGTCTAAACTCTAAATGAGAACGATTAGGGAAACACTGAAGCTTCGTTGGTGGCGAGAGTTATTTTTTCCATTTAGAATGCAACCCCAGAAATAATCACATTTTTTTGAAGGCACAGAAAATACACTATTCACAATGAAACTCCCGTTATGTAGGAAAATATTTTCATTAGTAAAAATATAGCTTGTCATATGATAATTAGATGAATTCTAAAGCTTCTCATGGTTTTGAGATGAATGGAAAATATTTTAACCAGATAATTTTTATGATTTATTGCATTAATTAAATTATAAAACAATTACATATCTTATATAGTAGCAATTACAAGTTACTTCACATTAAGCAGGATAATTTCTACCTATGATAAAGGCAGTTAAAAAGTCACAGGCTTACTTAGGTGCAATGCAGTTGGTTACTTTAAACAGATTAAAAAAATTAAGACGTGTGCTTATAATTTTGATAACCAGCAGTCCTTATAGGAATGAAAGCTGAAGTTTGCAATCTAATAGCAAAATGTCTTGGAAATTTCATCTTTCTTGTTGTACGGTAAAATTTAAAGTTACTGACTAGACTTTCTTCGTTCGATTGATTGCAATAAAAGTAACTTCAGCACACAAAGTAACTTCAGCACACACAAAATGCTTCATCGAGAACACAAACGTTGTTATTTCAAATTGGATCTTGACGCAAAATGGTGAGCAGCAAAAAAATTACTGTGGTAACCAGCCAAAGGAATATTTTTTAGACAAAAGCTCGTTTACTTCTTGCGGCTCTTGGGCGAGGTGGATTGAAAAACGCTCGACGCCGACATCAGGTTCTCGATGTACTGGCCGAGCACTTGGTTTTCCGATCTCAGTTTGAGGTTCTCCTCCTTCACACTGTCCACGCGTTGAGAAAGATCTTAAGAGTCATTTTAATTAAAATAGAGTTCCAAAATTTATGTAATTCTTAAATTACCGTCCAGTGTGTTTTGCAACTCAAGCACTTGGGAAATGAGTCTGGCCTTCTCCTCCTGCTCGTCAGGGCTTATGTCAGGGTCAAGTCCAAGGTGATCTGGAGGAAATTAAATAAAAAAAAATACCAATAAAAAATAAATTATTCATACTCATACTGCTTGGGCCAGGGGAACTGCTTCCGTTTGTGAAAGTGGACTGGATCGAGTCCATGCTGCGGCCGCGGACCATCGCGTCCGACACCAGGGACAAGTCGGCCGTCGTGTCAGCATCCTCGATGACGGCTAATTAGAAAAATTAATCATATAAATTTGCAGATTATGAAATTTCAATTAACCTTGTGGGTCGTCGTCAGCGAGAGGAATGTTGCTAAGATCGTCTTGAAGACTCGGCCCGCTTGAGATCGACATTTTATCTGCAAAAAGAATATAATATAATCTTAATATTATAATTATTTCAGCAATCGACTGATATTCAAATAATTTCACTAATAGTAACAAAGCAAATTACATAAAAAATTATGAGCATAATGCAGTGAAGCTGAATAGGTCAATTTTGAAATAACTCGTAAATCAAAATTCTTCCTTCCAATCACGGATTTTAAACGTTGACAACGTAAAATTGACATTAAATAATGAAATCAAAGTGTTTTCTCAAAGATTTTACTTACCGAAAAACGTGTGAAGGGCGGAAAAGTTTTATTTACGTTGGATCTTTAGCAGACGATTTGCCATTTGAGGAGGGACACGCCCACTTTCGAGCCAGCGCCCCCGTTGCGTGATTCCGATTTCTCTGCAGACTGTGAGGCGCCCGCATGGCACATTATCCTGTTTAAAGGCGCAAGAAATTTTAAAATAAATTTAGTTGAGTATTGATACAATCATTATATGAAGAATAGAATTAAAAAGAGAAATCAAAACCTTCTAAATGCTTCGAATCAAGCAGATGCAAACAAAATAATTATCAAAATAAAATTTGTAAAGTAAATTACATATAAAATCAAATCAACACTTTTTAAGTATTTTATAAATTTTCTTTTATTTTACATATTATACACCCATTGAAGCATCTATCTGTTCAGTCATTTATACATTAAATAATAAAAAGTTTCATTTTGGTATTTTTGGGATAAGTTTCAATTCGTGGGTGAGCCACACAGCCAAGGACAAAAGCACCAAAGACCCCGACTGATGGGAAGCAGCAATTGGCACTGGTACATAAGTCAATAGGGTTGTGATTCCGAGTATCACCTGAAGTTTTAAATCAATAATCAGTGTCAATTTTTAACATTTTACAAAAAAATATATACCTGGAACCAGGCCATGGCGGCAACAGCAGTTGTGGCTCTGTACGCTCTCGGAGGCAGAGTCCTTCGATGTGCCAATAACCACATTCCTGTGATGGCCACTAGTGTGCTGGTACCCTATGACCAAAATCAAAATAAAATTTATTTTTAAAAAAATATATAATTAAAATATTACCAAAACTCTGTGGTCAAATTGAACTGTCGTCGGATTTTCGGTGAAATTTCTGAGTGCTGGCGAAAAGGCCAAAATGTCATCAGGAATCCATTTGTCGGCCATTTTTGGGAATGAGTTGTAGACAAGGCCAGCGTCAAGACCTGCCACAAAAGCACCTGACAGGGCGGTCAGGAAAACGAGGCCCTTGCACGAATGCGCCAACATTCGGAATTTCCTCGCCTGCTTAATCACAGCCACCGACGCTCCCTGAAAATTAAAATTGATTGGTAAAATATTTTGGGTTTTTAAATTCCTTCTATTTAATTTAATTAATTAGATTATTCTATTGAACAAATCAAATTACAATTGAATTCAAAATACTATTTTTTTGTTAAATTTAAATTTTCCACTCTACATTAATTTATTTGTCAATACCTGTGGCATATTCTGAGCAGGCATAATTTTGTCGAGTCCATTCCAGATGAAGAGGGTGTAAAGGATCAAGGCCAAGCTGAGATGGGCTGCCAGTCTGTACTGAGAAACTCGAGGCTCGGAGCTTTCGGGTCCTTGGAATCTCTCGGCCTCCAGTCCCGACCTCACCATGTACCAGCCCATCAGACCCTGAACACTTTCAGTTAGAATTATAAGAAATAAAAAGAATTTTTACAAAACCTGTCCTCCGAGAAGAGTGCCGAAGACAGCCACACGGAACTTCATGGCTTTGGCAAAATATCCCCTCGTCCAGAAAAATATCGCTGGGAGGAAAAAAGCGGCGCCTATCGTCCTTCCCCACTGGCGGTGCAAATACTCCATCCACCAAATCCACTTGAACTCCTCCAGCTTCATATTTTTGTTTTTCCTAAAAAAAATAGTCCACTTTGAAGAAAAATTGCAAATAAAAATCGTCTATTTTTACAGTTGGAATTCAGGAAACTGTTGGTATTTTTTGAATTCCTCTTCCCACTCGGATTGGTTTCTCGGTCTGTGTTCTCCAAGAAGCTTCCACGTGACCATGGAGAGGCCAGACTCGGTCAATCGGGTCACTCCACCCAAAACCACGGCACCGAAGACCATCCCTCCACATCCGAGCAGCCAGTAGCCAATCACCTTTTGGCTTCGAAGGGGTGCTGATTGTGCTTCGACTGCTACGGTCGTCCCTCGTTTTAACTAAAATCAATAAATATATTAATAGATCTAAATAAATTTAATTTAATTTTTATAAAATTACCAATAAATTTTGTAAGATTGACCTGCTCTTGAATTTGGGGTTCATCAGCTGGCAGTTCTAGAATAAGTTTTTAATCAGTTATATTTTTAATTTGAACCATTGACCCGAGATAAATTTGCGATATTAGTATTCATTATGCTCATTTTGCAGACGTTATGTAACAACAACTAGTGGAATCGTTTCTTCTGTAATATTTTTCAGATTTTTCGGAATTAAAAATACTTGCCTTGATAAATGTTGAATGAGATCTAATGGTTGATTCGTTCGGCCAGAAGCTGCGAGGAGCAACCCTCGTCGCATTTGCAAAAATCTTCCACATTTTGCAATTAAAATCAACTAAAATTTAATCTGAAATCCCTCTCATGTAATGTCTACGTGCTGTCGGTGCTGCAATGTTTTCTTTTCTTTCAAGATCCGAGCTTTCAAGTTTCAATTTATTACCAGAGTTAATGCAAACGCCATCTGTGTGCAGAAAAAGGTACCTTAGTAAAAAAAGAGAGTTTTGAGAAATATCATAAAATTATTTAATTATATATTAACACAAAAATTAAATTTAAAGAAACAACATTTTAAAAATATTTTGTACTAGGAAGATAAATTAGTTTAAAATTTTTATTAACAAAATATTAGATGAAATTAAAACTTTTACTGCACAAAATATAGTAGTAAATAATGCTGCGCGATAATTTAATTCTAGATGCACAATTAATTAATACTGTATATTATTTAATAATTAAAAAAAATTGGAATGTGGACTTTTATAAATTATATAATATAAAAATTTTGGAAACTATATATTTTGATAATTAAAACACTTTTTAAATTTTTTGATGACAAGAAAATAAATTTTTTTATTTTCAATTTGGATATATTTACATACTCAATTTTATTTTATGCTCATTTATTTTACAATTAAAAATAAACTCAACCGTCTTTGAAATCCAATTTAAAAATTAAGTAACAAAATCAGTCAGTAAAAAAGTAACACTGATCGTAAGTTTTGTTCGCGGCTCCAGTGTAAGTAGGCGCATAATTATAAATCAGACTGCTTCTCTCTTTCTCAAGAGTTGGGAACTGATGGGTACTCTTGCGAGCTGAAAATAAAATCACTTAATCCAGAAAAAAATATGTGCAAAATATTTTTTACCTTCGTTCACAAAGAATTCAGCAAAATAGGAAGAAACATGAATGGAATTGGCCGTGTGCGGAATGTTTTTCTCTCTAATGTTCCACTCATAGGCTGGCTTCTCAGGATGGAACTGCACAGCAAAGAAAGGGTACGTCTTGGACTCAAAGGCGGCCACGTACCGCAGACCTTCGTGATCCACGCTGGTGGCCAGAATATCAATGTCGTTGACAATATTAGCTTCAGTCAAAAGCTAAAAAAGATATATAATAAATTCAAAATTTTGAGATAATTTAAAAAATAAAAATCACCTCTTTTGTGACGCACCATCTGTGGAAATTGGCGGTCACAGGTTCAGTCGCCAAAATATCAACCACAGAACTGGGAGCAGGCGAGAAAATTTTGCTCTTGTTAAACCCTGAAAAGTTAGGAAGAGAGAAAAACATAATTCATTTAAAAAATTAATTTCCTAAATTTTACCAATTTCGAAATCAAGCGGGTCCGCCTTGTCCCACGCGTCGCACACGATTCTGGGATCATCCTTTCCAGCCATGAGGTAAATGAGCAGTTCAAAGCCGAGACAAGTGCCCCAGATGGGAAAGTAGTCGCCCTGGTTGTTGAGATCGATGGCCAGGTTGTAGAGAATTTCGCCCGCCAGTCCGTATCCAGACGTGTTGTAAAAGTTGGCGCCGCCGGGGATGAGCAAACTGTATTATTGCGACCACAAAATTTACAACCCTTTCCGCAGTGGAAATCGAAAGATAATGAAATAAAACTCACCCGTTAATCGAGTTAATGACGTCAGTATAGTAAGACATTTCGCGGTTTATCCTGCAAGTTTAAAAGCGAGAATAAAATAGGAGAGGCAATTGCGAAAGCCCCTGACAAAGCGCGATTACGCAACACGCTCGACACGTCTGCATTGCGGCTGCATAAGATTGCCACAAACAATAAGAGTGATTGACTGATTAACGCAATGGAAATCTATTGGAGTTTTTTTTTCAAATTTCTGACAAGAAAAAAGAATGTCTGAAAAGAAAATTTATCTATAAAAGGTGTTCTTTTGATTACAATTGATAGCAAAGCCGATCAGCATCATTTAAATTAAAACACTTAATTAAGTAAATAAAATTCATAATTTGCAATATTTCAAATCTTGTAAATGATAAAATTTGAGTTTTCTAAATAATCAAATTTAATCCATTATAATTAATTTCTTCATTTCAAAATTAAGAATTTAAATTATTGTTAAATATAATAATATTAAACAATTAAAGTCTTGATGAGCTACTTTTGTAGTGCGAAACATGGTTTCAACAATTTAAAGAAAAATAATAACAAGAAACAAATTTCTGATATCCTGTATTATTATAGAAATGGAAATATAACCTATAAATATTTTAAATAAAAAAATATAATATAAATCATAATGCAAGTATTTAAAAACGTTTCAAATCCAATTTTTTTCTTCGTTTTTTTTTTTTAAATATCGTAATATTTTTATCATACTTGATGGGGACCACCCTGGCCCCAGCGCTCTCCAAGAACTTGACGTAAGACGCCGCGATGAAACTGGTGTAGTTCAGCTCGCCCCATTCATTTTCCAGCGACCTGGACAGCTCCTGGGACAAAACCCCTACGGAAGAAAAGATTCCTTTCTCGAGATTTTGAAAACCTTCGCAAAAATTCACCGATGATGGGTCTGTTGTTGGACGAGGGCGCCGTGATGACCGTCGCCGCATAGCCCATGCACACCGCACTGAGCGCGAGCACCACGATTGGGCGCAGAAGCGACATTCTGGGCCGTCGGGTTAAATTTAGCGTGCCAACAAAGAGTAACAACTGCCGGTGGATTCGGCCGATGGAATAATGACTCGAGTCATTGTTGCCTCCGGCGCTTCTCTCCTCATTATCTGCGGCGGGCGGATAAGAGATGGGGACGGCGCCTCTTGAACTTTGACCTTTCCCAATGGCGGCGAAAATCAATAAACAAGCAGGCTTTGAGTTGAGCAAGGTCGTCTTAAAAGCTGCTGCGAATCTTTCTGAAATTTTAAATTTGACTTTTTTTTCTTAAATAAAAAATGAAGCGCAATTTATTAATATTGTAAATTTTTTACAATAATACAGTCCCAAATAAGCATAAATTTTACAATAAACTATTGATATTCAAAGATATATTGTTGATCAATGAGTCTATATATATTTTTAATTAATCTCTACTAATAAAATTTAATTTTCAACATTTTTTTAAACATTTAAAACTTTGTTTATGCAGAAATATAAATTAAATATTTGTTTAAAAAATATATAAAATATACTATAAAAATTAATAAAAAAATAATATTTAGCAAATTATTATTAGTAATGTTTATTTATAACAGAATAGTAATTTTTAATTTTATTTAATAATACTTAATAATATTATAGTAATTTATAATTAAAATTTTAAACCATTATTATACTAAGAATATTGAAATGTGAGTTTTAGTTGGCTATATGACAAACAATTTTGACAAAAAGTCAGAAACTTTTTAAAAACCCTATAGGTTCCAAAAACAAAAAGACTCTAAAAGTGATCTTGGTCTCTCAAAGTATGGAATGCAGCTAGGAAATAAATTCGCGTCGATATATATTTTCTGTATGATCATGAAGTGAATTGAAATAAATAATAACAATTATAGACAAAAGTAATTTTCTTCTGTCGCTGAACTAACATCAGAAATAATGTAAAAATGTTGAATAATTAAATGTAACTAATTTAAATAGGTTTCAACAATTCATTTTTTTTAAATAAATTGTTTTCAACATTTTATTGTATTCAATGTATTTCTATTTCTTACATGAGGATAAATAAACAACAATTGACGTTAATATAATTATATAAAAATTTGCATTGTAATTTGATGATGATGACTATACTGAAATAAAAAGCGTCAAAATCCGTTTGCTCTGTAATAATATTTCGCATTTGTTTTTATTCTCATACACAATGGTCTTATTACAGTACTGCATAAAAATTGAAAAATAGGCATCGCACTTGACTCGCTATCTTAAGAATTCTTGACGTTGTTGTTTTTCATATTTTTATTATGCATACTAAAGAATGTCGTGTGTGTCTGTGTTGGCGGGAACGCAAAATTGGAACGAGGCGACAACCTATCCTGAGAAATAAGAGTGAGATTTCTTCCTTTTGGGAAGAGAGATGATTTTTTTTTTTAACATTTTTCCTCTGCTTGCGTCTCATTTTTACGAGTTTACAATTAATTATATAACAATATTTATGAATAATTTAGTGAATTGTCGCTTGCTTACGCTCGCACTCTCATCCAAAGATAAACTGAGTTATAAATTTCTGAACATTTTCATTCAAATAACAGCAACATTATAAAAAACAACAGTGTACGCGTAGCTTAATTTCCCTTGCTGCGTGCGTGTGTAACGTTTTCGCTCTCGGTTGAATGTGTATGTATTTTTTTATTCTTTCAGGGCTGCTTCTTTCTTCAAAATTTAGTTTTCAATTTTTTTTAAATACTTTGTAAGGTATAATATTTGCGCTTTTAATTATACTCATTTTATGCACACATAACAGGCGTTAAGGCAGACAATGTAAGTAGATATGTTGAGATAGTGTGTGTGTGTGTTTCGTGAGTGTGTGTAAGTGAGTTTATTTCAAAGCCCATTGCAGCAGCGTGAGAATAACGACACTTTCTTTCCATAGAGGCTGAGAGTTAATTATTTGCGCGAGCGTCCGAAAATTGTATCATTAACCAGCAATGAGCCCAAACGTTTTTCAAGAACTTTCTCTTCCTTTTTCCAAAACTTTTTGAACAAATCAAAACATTCGTCTGCCTTTTCACAACTCCATTAATTTTTTCCACTTTCAAAAAATTTGAAATTTAGCTCATCTTTCTTATTTCATTCACTCATTTCCTTTTTCTGATTTTCCTATTCCTCCGTTCCTTCGTCTTAATAACAGGTTATTTATTTTTTTGATAATTTAATGCGCGCATTAATGTGTGGCTACATGTCAACAACATTTATTACCTCGTGGGTCGATCGCTTCAGCTTTTACTTATGTACATTTTCAGCGTTTTTTTTTTATATTATATGAATTTTGGGTGCTGCCGGTGAAATAAATAAATACTTTCTTAATTCAACGGTTGATATCTCAGAAGGAGGATCACAAAAATATATTATATTCGTATCATATCCGTGTATAGGCCTAGAGCAGTGTGTGTTTGAATGTGTGAAATTTTGTTCCGTGAGGGTCGCAAAAAACATTTGTGTGTTGGGTATATTTAAACAACGAAGCTTTCAAGTGAGAGAGAAAGAGTTAAAAGATTTGAATCCACATTTCGGTTTGACGAATATAAATCGCAAAAGTGCAGTTAGTTTAAAGTTGCGGTTGTCTGATTCTGAACACACTCTTCGTTTTACAAGGGGGAACACCGTGGGTAAGAAATTCAAAAAGCTGCGACTAAGTGAGAGATAGATGCTTGATAATTCTCCGCATCCTAACGAGGGATTTTGATTTTTTTTCGATTCACAAGAATTAAGACAATAGTTTAGTGTGTGTCGAGAGGAAATCGATATTTTTTTGGCTAAGTGAAGAGAGTGCTGCGCTTTTTTCTTTCCGGCCACAGAAATCTCGTTTTGCTTTCAAATTTAATTCACTTTTTTTAAATTGGACTGGCAAGGTTAAATCTTTTTATATTTAATTTTTATTGGCTCAAATTTCTGTGGCAGAAAAACGCGAGTCGCGCGGTTACGGGAAGCTAGACATCGAAACATTAAAGGCCTACTACGTTTTAATGCAATGATTGCTCGCTACGTTTTCGTTATTTGCTAATTTCCTGCCCTACGCCTCTGGATTCTGCTCGTCATCAAGAGCTTTATTTCTTTCTATTGAATAGAATGAGTTTGTCACTGGCCTTGGCCAAAGCAAACAAAAACTACAATTAAAAGGAGATTTCATCCAATGAATAAATAACACTATTTAGGAAATTGAGCCTCTCGTGAGTCGCTGGAACCTGCAGCCATTTCAATAATCAACTATATTAAGCTGAAACTGATTTGAATAATTGTGACACTCGCCTGAAAGATTCATAACACATGGGTGCTTCTTGTGAGTTTTTTTTCACCCTTTTGGCAGGTATTGGCACATCCATAGTCATATACGGAGAGAGACCGAAAACTCAAAGAAAAACTTCCATCACTTTTTTTTTGTATTCGTCACACTTCGCATGAGTTTTAGGGCTGTGTTTTTGTGAGTATAGTATAGTGTCATTTTATTATTTTTCTCGTCAAGTGTTTTTAACATTATGCAAAACTTAACAAGTACACATATGCCAACAGAATGATAAATGGCAGAAATAGAAAATAAACTATTTTTTTTAAACCTTTTAACCGTTGTTTCACTGCGCAATTTAAAGGGGAATTGAAATCTTCTTATCACTCTGTTCTCCATCGGTGAGTTTTGCAGTTGAGTTTTCAAACCCCTTTAAATTGTCGATCTAAATGTACGTTGAAGAAATCCCAGACGTGATCAGGAGACTTTCCTCGCTTATATTTCAACATCACAATTTGCTCCTTCTCAGGTAATTTCACAACCTATTTAGTGGCAAGATGTGCTGATGCTACAACAAGATTACTTACTCCTCGCTACTTTTTTTTCTCTCTCCGAGAAATCTTCAACACTCGGAGCAGTATTGATTAATTAATCAGTGAAACGTCAAAATCTCCTTTCTTTATACATATGCTTTTTGTGTGTTTTCTCAGTTATTTCAACGCAATTATACTTCATAATATAATTATACTATGCATTATTTACACTATAGCACCGATTATTTTCCGCAAAACTGAGAGTCACTGTACTGCTGATTCACTGTGAATAATTCAAGAGGGCGCTTTTTTGAAAGCTCTATGGGAATCACTTGCGCACACCTGCGGTGTGTCTCTGTTTGAGAATGAGAGAGAAAGAGAGGCATGCAGTTCTTGATAGAGAGATAGAGATGCACTCTGCCGCCACTTTAAGCCTCGAGGAAAATCAATGCGGTTGGCTTCGCCTCGAGGTTGGACTTCTTCGCCTCCACGACCAGGAATTCAATTTCCGGCCGTCCTCTCGCCGCAAAAGATTCGGCAATCAGTCTCGCCACCTCTTGATGGTGCATTCCTGCAAAACGAGAGAAAATCATCAAAGAGTGTCCACCGCAGAAACGACAAGTTCAAATAATTAATAATTAAATGTAAAAAGATTGCGAATAAAAGTTTACCTTCCACTTTGTGTCCATCTACTTCTAGAATCAGCTGACCCACTTCTAACCCTCCAGCTTCATACGCTGCTCCATTTTCCTTTAGAATGAAATTGTAATTATAAATAATAATAACAACCATCCAATCTTGTAAAATATTTAATTTTTGTTTAATAGTTTAAAAAAAATTAAAATTCCGCACTAGGAAAGGTTTTAAGTTAATTAAACTTACAATGTTTTATCTGACCTAAAAGAAAAACTTTTCTTCAATATTTGACTTGTGAGCTAAAGTTTAGTTAAGAACGCAACAAAATATATTAAAATTTACAATAGCATTATTTAGTTGATTTTAAAATTAATATTATTAAAAATATAGGCGTATTTTAGAACAAACTAAACTTGCAGTTTTTTTAAGTGTTTGCAATTTTTTCGTGTTTAATTTTACTTATTCTTAATTGATTTTCAGATGCATTGAAAATGGAACAAAATATTACTTCAATGAATACATAAAATATTGAAATAAAACTGAAATTAGCAAGTTTATAATTTTGGATTCATTTTTATTCTCTAAAAAAGCTCTTACTCACTCTAACTGAATATTTATGAATTTGAACAGGATATTGAAGCTTACATGAATGTTGATTATCCTGGGCAGTGGATGTTTTGTGTTGGCTCCACCCTCGATGGCGATGCCCAACATCGGCTTGCACTTCTTGACAGTGATGCGCAAATTGCCTTGCATGTCAGGTACCACCATAGCACCCTGCAAACACGAAATCGCGTTTTCCGTTGAATAGTCTGTGCAAGTTTCCCCTTTGTGAGAGATTTCCAATTTAGATCGGTGCCACTCAATCCCACAATCGAAACCAAAATAGAAATAGAGAAAAATCTATAATGGGTATGTATTTAGTAGTATATAATTACCATTAATCTATAATTTTAAACTAACACATTTAAACGGTGTGAAATATTCTACCACCATCAAAGATAGGGTTTTGCTAAAACTATGATAGTCTCACTAACTCTGATGGCGAACATTCTATGTTTTAATAATATTACTCCATTAAAACTACACACGATATATATATTAATTTAAAAAATCCCCTCTCGCGCATTTTTGAGATCAGTAAGAAGTTTGAAAGATTGATTAGCAGCTTCGACTGGCATTCACCATTCCGTCCTCATTGACCTCTTGGAGGTCGCCGCACGTGGGCATGCCGCGCGCCGTGAGTCGTTGCATGGATTGTCTTCGTCGGGGCGCCGCCGAGCCCTCGCCGTCCATCAGCAGGCTCTGCTGGTCACCCTCGCCACTCATGTCAAAGCTGCGGCTCAGTTTTTGCGCCAAGTCCTGCGGAAAGTTCAACTTCTCAGACCCCACAACACTGAGACGAGGATTCGACTAATGGAAAAATAATTATTTGAAAAAAAAATATAAACATGCTCTCTCACCTCATACAAGTGCAGACTAATTAATTAATCAATTCCCTAGATGGCTATTTTTGAATGGTGCGAGTGATTCATATTGGTGGGATGATATACAAAATTTTCGGTAATTTTTTTGTATATACCTCCGATTTTAACACAGCTCATGCACTAGCTACTAAAACTCCTTGTCAAATACGTTACTAGAGACTATCGCATGGCAACCCGCATAACAGCAGCACCGCACAAGTTGCCTATGTTACTCGATTAAAACTACGGTACAAGAAGTTATTTCCCCGTCGTGAGAGAGAATCCTACCGCGGAAAGGTGCACGATACGTTATAATATCGATCCCAACTTTATATATGTATATAAAGTAATAAAAATTATTGTTGGGGTTGAATTATATAGTCATGCTCGTGGGGGACAAAACAGCAAAATAACATTTAGACGTAAAAAAGAGACGAATTTGCTGAAATAAAAAAAGTAAAATCGGGCGAAATATATAAATTTTTGTGATTGAATTATATTAGAATAAAGAAGTATGCTGTACAAACATTTCAACATATAGATATATAAAATTATTTGGAAATATATTTGAAAAAGTTGGTGGTGTGAAAACGGAATGTACACGACCGCTTGACTTACTATGGGTCGCCCCCAGTACCAGGATTTCACTCTTTGCGTTAGACCGCCTATGGAGGATCGCAAGCCGTCAAAGTAACCGCTCTGCGGAGCCAATCAAAACAAATCTTGAGTCCCAAGTTCAAAAGTAAAGAAATTATTAAAAATATTAAATTTAATTCTAAAATTTTATTTTAAATAAATTTAAATCCCAAAAATGGACCGTTTTCCTGTGGAGTTTTTATAAAATTAATTCGTTTTTTACCTAACTTTGATGCGGTGTTTTACTTCGAGCGTATTATATACTTTTCACTAGCAAGATAATGCATTGTGAAAAGGGACTAAATGTTTGATACCAATGCAAGTTGAAAAGCAATTATTTCACTGTCATTTATTGCACACTGGCAGTGTAACTAAATTAACGACAATCGTTGAATCGGTTTAATAAATTGTTTTTTACAGTAAGCAAAAAATGACTGAGCTCCAATAATATCCAACAAGAAAATCATTTTTCACTTCAAAATTATAACAATGAAGTGCAAAACATGCTTTTCTTTGAAACATTTGGAAAAAAAACAGCTCTGACAATTATGAATAATATGGTCTACAGCCTAGTGTCTAAGAGTTAAATTAGTAAACAAAGAAAAGAACTTTTTTAATGGTCTATATCAAATTTTTATATTTTTGTTTGAGCAGTCTTGAGTGACCTCCTTTTGTTTCAATTATACTTCATTGTTCCGCTACGTTCGTGGGTTGGTCAGTGCCACACAAATCGCTCGCCCGCTGTGATTGACCCTTGACCTCGATATTGAAGCTGCAGCAACCTCTTGCTCGCTCTCCGCGCTTGTATGCACTCTGCATCGCCACTTTATTGGATTGAGCCTGGCATGACTGTTGTCTGCATATCTTGTTCGTCCCTGCTACTCGACACTCGCAGCCGAGATCGCGTTTCACGTATAAGGCACTTTAAAAAATTATATTGAACTTGCGACCCGTTCGGCCTCGCCTACCGGGGTCGCCGACCATATTTTGCTCACTCCTAGCATGGATTAATTCCATCATCGCACCTTGAAAGCACGCAGAAGAGTCAATGGACTGAATCAAAATGTATTATTTAGATGACATTCCTTTGGGTTATTAAAATATATATTGAAATTCTTTCAATAAATAAAGTCAGTTGGATTTTTTCGCTCAAGTTCTTTCTTTGAGTGTCCTTTCAGACACATATAACGAAGAGCTAGGCTGAAACTCCTAGCAACTTACGATATCAAAGATTTGAGAAATGTATCAATTGACACTGCCATAAACCTTTTGATTTGAAAATATCTCCAACTGCATCTTACGATATTGAGATTATTGGCCATTCCTAATTAAACAAGACTTTGAAAACCTGGAGAGAGTAAAGACTAAAATCGAAAATTAGTTCTGTCATGATCTTTAGACTTTAGAAGGTGCGCAAAAAAATGATGGTAATGATATTTCGGTCGCTCCAATAGGATTTAAATAGAGATCGTTAAGTTAAAAAGGACTTAAGTCATCGTTTTATTGAAAAACAAACTGGTTAAAATCTCATCAAGAACTTGTAACTTGTAAAAAAGTTACAAGTTTTTGACCAGTCATTCAACTTGTCTTTAACTCATCATAAAAAAACTTGTCCACTTGAAAAAATAAAAAAATTATAAGATTATCTTGTTAAAAAGTGGAAAAATTTCTTGCAGGGTTGCTGAGACTCTTTTGCTTTTCCAACTGAAATTAAAGCAGCCATGGCAAGTGTGGCCTTTTTGAGTGAAAATACTTTTATCCATTATTAAATTAAGATCTGTATAAAATTAATTTAAAACTGAATTTTATCCAGGCTCATTAGTCTTTCTTTGCATGACAAAATATATAAACTCAAGCGCATTGCAGAGAATACGATTAACCTCGATTCAAAGCTCATTAAGGCTCATCTCATTTTACAACACTCTCCGCCCTCAAGTTCCCTCTTGAGCCGCTGCAAATTATGCAAAGCGATAAATTACCTGCGAGACGTATTGTGTGCACAGGTTCAACTGCGCGCGGCACCTCATGACTAACCTGCCAACTGGATTAACATTTAATAGCACTTGTGATTTATTTGAAATAATTTATCCTTCGGCTTACAATGGTGCATTTTGTGTTTGCAGCAGCGAGAGATGCGGCACTTTCGACTTTTTGCGTCGCTTCGAATCGAAAAGCTTTATTATCGTCCGGCGGATGAAATTTACGAGAGTAGTAGTGCCGCCGCCGGCTCATTATGAAAATGTGTATTTTTACTACCCCCCGTGACGGCAATGGCTGTGTGTGTGTCATTAAAACGCGTTCGCCCATTGTCGCTCGGACTTTGCAATCCATGGTTTATTACCACCGGCGGGACGCATGAAAGGGTTTGCGCCGCGGAAGTAAATTACAAACGGGGGAGTGCCTTTGAACGTATAACGTTGATTAAACATAGAGTTAGAGCTCCATATTCTGGGAGATATAATTCATAAATCAAATTATGGGAGAAATAACTATATTATATAACTTTAATTTTATTATAACTTGTATTTTTCTCTTTCAACTTCTCAAAATAGAAAAAATTTGCAGTGATGAAAATGTGTTTTCTCTAAAATTTTTGTTTTTAATATAATACGCATCTCGTTGATTTGCCTTGTGGTTGCGCAAATAACATAAATATTTATTATTTCATTGAAGGAAAATGTGTAATTAATTTTTTTTTATTGTAGTCATTTAGTGTTAAAATATGTAAAATATTAATTGACAATAATTATAAATTATAAATGTGCGTGTGTATGTAAATTTTGCGTGGAGAAGATGTTTGTGTTGCAAAGTGTAAATCAGCTTCATGTTTTACTTCAGGAAAACATCGAAACTGTAAAGAATTTGGCTCTAATGAATGAAAAAATTATCTCAATAATACAATCCATTTGCTGATTAAGAAATTATTTAAAATATTTTGGCAACATTAAATCTTTCTGAATTATAATTAACTTGTAATCTTCTGAGACACTAAAATGAAATTTCTTTGCTTTGTAAGGGAGTTTTTTTTTCAATCTAATGTTACAATTTTGATTTTAAGTTCTCTTACTCGCTCAATTTCAGTAAAAACCAAATTTTTCGTCATTGAAATTATTCTTTTGCCTAAAATACTTTTTTTTATCCAATCAAAAATATTCAATACATTTGGGAAGGCTGAGAAATACAAAGAAAATTTTATTTAAGAATAAATGGAAAATGTTCACGTCTTCTTTTGATAATTGAGAAAATCTTCAACGTCATTAATTTCTTTGGCCTGGTAAATTTCACCGAGCAGGGCCCGTTACGAAATTAGCTGGGCAAACATAATATCTTGGATGCAAACGCCACACGACGTGGTACTGTTACAATTCGCGCAGACTGAGCACCTCTTGCCGTCGCTGAAATATCAATAATTTTACGGTGTGCACATTCACCATAGTGAGTATATAATCAGCAAGAGAGTCCGTTACGATGAGATCGTGATAGTCAAATGGGTCCTGTGCTAATGAAACGGCCACCGAAGTCAGTCACGCCCTGCTCTCATGCACTTTTGTGTGCATTTTGTCTCGGCACAATCACGAAGCGAAATAAATTCAAAGGCCGAGTGCATGACTCGTGATGCTTTGCTCCTAACTGTAAATTAATCTCGACAGTCAGGCCACAGATAGTTCATTTAGTTCCAGCAAGCAATTGTTATCGAAAGTTAAGCCTCTGCTTATTTGTCGCAAAAGAAAAATTGGGAAGCGTGGAAATATAATTATTTTATTTCAGGTTGTGAAAAAACCGTAAATAATAAGTTAGTCTTATATTGAAACCCTTATTTTCAAATGGAAGTAGCAAGTAATGATGATAAAATTTTGAAAGAGACTTCATGTTTTTAAATGTAAAATTCTTTTTAGTTTTCAATCGATTCATATTTCCAGAATAGAAATTTGCATTTTTTTTTTCAAAATATATCTTTTTTGTTTGTATTATTGCCAGGCTGTTTCCCGTCACTTTTTAATATAAGATTTATTTTGTCCTTTTAATGCAAATGAAATGACAGCTATACATTGATTGAGAAATCTACAATTTCGTTGTAAACTCTCTCGCTTGTTGCAATAAATATAAAAATGGCAACTTTTCTCTCTCCTTTCTAATAGATTATTGGCAGACAGAACAATTGAAAGGCGCCAAATCGTGCAGAAAGAAATTCAAACGTTGTTTACGTATCTGTAAATTCTCTCATTCCGTCAGACTTGCATTGCGCAAAACAATTAACCCGTATCTCTTGATTCCTCTCTTCGTTGCGCGCCCAGCAGCAGCTGCTTGACGCGTGAATGAGCGAAATGAAAAATCCATTCACGGTCGTCAAACCCGCGGCTCGCGGCGCAAATGATTTTCACATCTCTCAACGCAAAACGGCTCGAGCAGAGAAAATTATCGTCCGTTTATATAATAAGTATGCAGACAATTAGCAAAGTGTGTTTGTACCGCTGAAAGGTGCCACCGCTTTGAAATCTTAATTTTTCACGCACACCGGTTGGTGCATCTGACCATGTGTTGAGAGTATAATTAATTATACTGACCGGACCGTGCGTTAATTAATTAAATAGCGAGATGATTTTACTTAAGAATCAAACGAAAAACAAAAAAAATAATCTTTTCCAGACAAATTTCATATTTAATAGTTATTTAATATAAAAATTTCATAGCTATTTAATTTAAAAAAATATTATGCTCGGATTGCTTTTTAAAATTTTTATAATATTTATAAGATTATATTATTTAACTCTAAACATTTTGCGCTATTAAATAATTTGCATTTTCATAGACAATTGATAATTTTTCCTTTGAAGTCAATATTTTTCACAGAAAATTATATGTAAAAATAAAATAAATCCAAACGCAAGAATTAAAGTAAGCAATGTCAAGTCAAATCAGATAATATTTGCGGGCTTAGGATCTTCATATGACGATAGTTTAAATGATATACATGATGTGATTAGAAAGAATTATATGTCATGGTTGTAGAGCAGAATAATGAATAATAATAATTATAGTAAAAGATTTGTAATGGTGTTGAA